TCTCATGCTCAATACAAATATTTTGTGATGTTTATTGATAACTATAGTCGATATACTTGGGCTTACTTTCTTAGATCCAAAGCTGAGGTTTTCACCATGTTTAAGAACTTTTTAGCTTATGTTGAGACCCAATTTCACACCAAGATTAAGACCTTGCGTAGTGACTCTGGCGGGGAGTATCTTTCTCATCAATTTCAAGAGTACCTTCAACAACATGGGATTATCTCTCAACGCTCTTGTCCCTATACACCTCAACAAAATGGCATTGCAGAACGTAAGAATTGCCATTTGCTTGATGTCACTCGGTCCCTACTTTTTGATGGCTCTGTTCCACCTAAATTTTGGGTTGAAGCCTTATCCACTGCTATTTTTTTTATCAACCGTCTTCCATCTTAGGTTCTTGGGCTTGATTCCCCTTACTTTCGTCTATTTAATGTTCATCCTGATTACCATAATCTCCATCCTTTTGGTTGTGTTTGTTTTGTCCATTTACCACCTCTTGATCATCATAAACTTGGGGCTTAATCTGTCCAATGTGCTTTTCTTGGTTATAGTCCTACTCACAAAGGATTTGTGTGTTATGATGCCACTGCTTCTCGCTTACACATATCTCGGAATGTGGTTTTCTTTGATCATCAATATTTTTTTCAGTCTCCTATTACTTCTAATGGCTTTGTTACCCTTCCAAATTTTTCTAATGGTTCTCGTCCTATAGAACGCTTCAAACCAGGTTATTTATGTTCGACGACAGCCTACCCCGCCCCTTCGTGATGCTGATTTGCCACATGAACCTGCTTCGTTAGCAGAACGTAGATCACGATGCATTATTCGTCCCCCAGATAGGTATGGCTTTGAGGCTATTTCTCTTACTGCTACTTTATCTGGTATATCTATTCCTACATGTTATTCACAAGCAGTTAAGGATGCTCGTTGGGTGAAAACAATGCAAGAGGAGCTTCAAGCCTTACAGGAGAATTTCACATGGGACATTATTCCTCGCCCACCTGGTGTTAAGCCTATCGGATGCAAATGGGTGTATTCTGTGAAGTTGAATTCTGATGGCACTCTTAATCGTTATAAGGCTCGATTGGTCGCCTTGGGTAACAAACAATAATATGGGGTGGATTATGACGAGACATTTGCCCTAGTGGCAAAAATGACTTCCATCCGCACAATTCTATGTCAATTCAATACACCACATTAATAGAAATATCAAACCTAAAATACAAGAGTTTCTAAAATTGTTTTCAAAATAATATTACAGAATTTTCATAAATATCTTAAACTAGAAATCCTCTGCCCCGATGTCACACTATCAGAGCATTTTCCCAAATAAAACTGCTGACATACTATATACCAATTGCAGCTGGATCCTCTCCACCTAAAAATATCCACAATTTATACGGTGAGAAAAGAAAAATTATCTATATGCAAAACACATACAAACACATCACAGTATAATTTATTATAACAACTTGTTTATTTCATATAAACGTATATAGATTTAATTATCAAATATTCAACCATTTCACAAACCATTATACATGTCACTTTCACAATCATAAAATCATTTTTCATGTCCATCAATATCACAATTAACACTATGCCAAGACCTCGCCACATCTGACACAAGTGATACAGGTTAATTGCCTCCCTTACTCACACCATACCAGGGGTACGCTCGTCCCTGAAGCATCACCTACCCAAGGTTCGTATCATCCCTGATTTACGAGGAGTACGCTCGTCCCTGAAGTATCCACCACACAGGGTTCGTATCATCCTTAATCCTTTAGTGTGAGTAACAACAATCACATTACAATCAATACAATCTCTTGCAATTAACCCTATGTCAGGGCTGCCATAACTGACATAAGTGGTGGTGTTAACTGTTTTTCTCATCTCACACCATGCTAGGGTCACGCCTTCCCTGTAACACCACTTATACAGAGCCGTGCCATACTAGCCATCGATGTGAGACATCACAATCACAATCATATCACAACCATACAACATCTCATCAAATTTATAACACATGTATAATTCCATATAACAAATAAACTTAAATTGCAGAACGTAAGAATTGCCATTTGCTTGATGTCACTCGGTCCCTACTTTTTGATGGCTCTGTTCCACCTAAATTTTGGGTTGAAGCCTTATCCACTGCTATTTTTTTTATCAACCGTCTTCCATCTTAGGTTCTTGGGCTTGATTCCCCTTACTTTCGTCTCAATCGCAGTAAGACAGTTGAAATTCTTGATAGTGGCTGTAGACTACTTCAGCAAATGGATCGAGGTGGAGCCAGTAACAACCATCTCGGCAGAGAAGGTAAGGACATTTCTATGGAAGAGTGTGATACAGCCTACCCCGCCCCTTCGTGATGCTGATTTGCCACATGAACCTGCTTCGTTAGCAGAACGTAGATCACGATGCATTATTCGTCCCCCAGATAGGTATGGCTTTGAGGCTATTTCTCTTACTGCTACTTTATCTGGTATATCTATTCCTACATGTTATTCACAAGCAGTTAAGGATGCTCGTTGGGTGAAAACAATGCAAGAGGAGCTTCAAGCCTTACAGGAGAATTTCACATGGGACATTATTCCTCGCCCACCTGGTGTTAAGCCTATCGGATGCAAATGGGTGTATTCTGTGAAGTTGAATTCTGATGGCACTCTTAATCGTTATAAGGCTCGATTGGTCGCCTTGGGTAACAAACAATAATATGGGGTGGATTATGACGAGACATTTGCCCTAGTGGCAAAAATGACTTCCATCCGCACAATTCTATGTCTTGCTGCCTCTCAAAGATGGCCACTTCATCAAATGGATGTGAAGAATGCCTTCCTTCATGGTGACCTCATAGAGGATATTTACATGACTCTACCTCAGGGCTTGTTTTCTCCTTCCACTAACGTGTGCAAGCTAAAACGCTCTTTATACGGCCTACGACAAGCACCTAGGGCATGGTTTGAGAAGTTTCGATCCACTCTTCTTGGATTCTCCTTTGTTCAAAGTCAATATGATTCTTCTTTATTCATTCACCATACGACAACTGGTATTGTTCTTCTTCTCATTTATGTTGATGATATGGTAATTACGGGTTCTGATCATACATCCATCCAGCATCTTAAAGAGCAGCTCAAGGCTTCTTTTCATATGAAAGACCTCGGTCCTCTTCGTTATTTCTTAGGTCTCGAGGTTTCCATGGACTCTACAGGTCTCTTTCTCCATCAACATAAATATGTTGAAGACTTGATTTCTCTCGCCGGTCTCCACTCTACTACACCGGTGGATACTCCTCTTGAGATTAATGTTAAATATCATCGTGATGAGGGTGATCTTCTATCGGATGCTTTACTATATCGACAGTTGGTAGGTAGTCTTAATTATTTGACGATTACCCGCCCTGACATTGCTTTTGCAGTCCAACAGGTGAGTCAATTTATGCACACTCCACGTCATCATCATTTAGCTGCTGTTCGTCGCATTATACGCTATCTGAAAGGTACCTCTATGCGTGGTCTTTTCTTTCCCAACGATTGCCCAACTACCTTGGTGGGATATAGTGATGCTGATTGGGCTGGTTGTCCTGATACTCGGAGATCCGTCACTGGTTATTGTATGTTCCTTGGGCCTGCATTGATTTCCTGGAAAAGTAAAAAGCAGTCTCGTGTCTCTAAGTCCTCCACCGAATCTGAGTATCGGGCTATGTCAACAGCTTGTTCTGAGATTATTTGGCTTCGTGGTCTTTTGGCTGAGCTTGGATTCCCTCAAACAGATGCAACACCTCTCCATGCTGACAACACTAGTGCCATTCAAATTGCTACCAATTCAGTCTTTCATGAGCGCACTAAGCACATTAAAGTGGATTTCCATTCTATTCGAGAAGCTTTGGACAATCATGTTATCTCCCTTCCTCATGTCACCTCACAACTTGAGCTTGCAAACATATTTACCAAGGCTGTTCCTCGTCCACAACATCAATATCTAGTTCACAAATTGATGCTTCTTGATCATCCGCATCAATTTGAGGGGGGATGTTAATGAGGGAATCAATTACGATTACTGTTTCCTATTATATATTATGTATTTTAGGAATAGCAATCAATTTATTTATTACATATAATTAGACTTCCTACAAATTAGGAATTAGATTTATTCTATCATAAATAATTAAAAACATCTTTGTACTATTTATTGAGAAGAAGGGAATGAGATAGGCATCAAAGGCCAACTTTTCTGACAGTGTACGGTATAGTGAGTTGGTGCTCAATTCCAGCTTCTTCACAAAATTTATCAAAAATAGTTTTTTGTGTATTCTTTTCCATTTTTAGACTTTACTATTTGTAACTTGCAACCACTTTGATTTTCTACCAATGCTTTATATTTACAAAAAATGTTAGCAACCTCGATTTTGGATTTAAAGAAGAAAATCCAACAAAATCAGGTATAATCATCAATTCATGTAATATAGTATTTATTACCATTTAGAGATGATACACTCTAAGGTCCTCCAATATCTGTATGTACTAGTTGTAGCTTGTATCTTACTTTCCATTTTGCTTGAGGAAATGGTCTTCTAACTAGCTTTCCATATTGACAAGCCACACAATCAACCATCTCATTTTCAAGTATTGTCACACCATTAACCAAGGCATGTTTCTACATGTACAACAACCCATTAAGATGAAAATGCATGAGTCTCTTGTGCCATAATTTAGCATTGTCGGTTATGCTCAAAAAAGCAATTTGCTCCTCCTCCATCAGATTTACAGCATATAGCTTTTAGATCTCATTTTCATCTTGAATACATTCAAGCCTATCAAGCTTTTAATAGCTAGCAATGGTCCTTTTCCCCTTGACTAAGATGAAATCATTATTTCCAATTTTTACTTTGGAAACAATGTTTTTTTTCAAGCTCTTTAAAAAGTTTTTGGTCATTGGTCATATGATTTGTGCAACCGCTATCTATTAACTATAAGTCACCAGAACTATTGCCTGTAGCAAAGCATGTTGCAACAAAAAGTTGCTCATTTTCATGTTCCTCCATTGACACCTTTGCCTCCTCTGCTATAAACTTGCTAATTTGCTCTATATGGCCCATATTACCATATTTTCTACATTTGACATTTGGCCTCTACCAACACCTTTTTTGAGGATGATTTGTCTTTTATTCAATGTGGACAAGGAGGAAAGTCTTGCCTTGTTGCTTGTTGAAGTCTTCTGGTTTTTTGTTCTTCCATTTGTTGTTTTCCTTGTGATAGACTATGGCCAAGGCCAAGGAATCCAAGA